GGGGGGGGGGGGGGGGGGGGGGGGGGTAGAAATTAATTTTATCTTTCATGGTATTGGAATTAAAGGTCTCAACAAAGGAATTGTTCTCTATCAACTATACCGCCCTTCTTTCTGACTCCTTATCAAAAGAGGGGTTTGGAAAGGGAGGGCAGGAGACAGGAGGGACTGGTTTTATCCTTCATGGTACTCTAATGAAAGGTCTCATCGAAAGGAACCAATTTCTACCAACCATAGCCTCCTCCTCGACTCCTTACCGTGATCGGATATAAATAATTCCTTATAACTCAAGAACAGATTGTCGGAGGATGGTACTCGCAAAAGGACCATTGGGACCCTTGGAAGAAATCTATTGGTGATGTCAACACTTTATGAACGAATATCTCGAAAATGCTTTGCCGGGGGAAAGTACCCACAAAGGTAAAATGAATTGTCTGGGCGAGACATATCTATTGCTGAAATCTCTTCATTAATCATCTAACAAGAAAGAAAACATCGATAAATATAGCATGCTACTACCCTATAACGCAACCATTTACCAAGCTATTTCGAGTTTAAAAAATGCATTTTATCTGCACCGGAATTGTGTACAACTTATACTTGTTTAGTAATTAGTCAATAGAAGTCGTTGGTGTAATGGGCATGCTCCCAAAAAGCAGCACTGTCTGTATGGGTGCCTACATACGTATTCTCTTCCATTGATTGCATATGATGCTATGTAAACATACTTAGTGGCGACGTCATAGTACACGATGACGTGCCAGCAAACGAAGGAAAATTCTACTATATCAGCCATATCGATCTTGATATCTTTTTATTCTAATGCAGTCCAATTCTAGAATGTTTACTACGAACAATTACAATTTGTAAAAAGAAGTTAATGAGGTCGAATCTTCCAAGTAGCCTGTTTCTCTTGCAATGCAATACTTCCGGGCAACTATTTCCAGAGGAGACTACCCACGCTAAAAGTGAGTGTACTTTTCGGTGATTTGTTCTTGTCTGTCAGTTTGGAGGTCATTTAATACCCGTTTTTAGAAAATGGTAGCGAATTTTGACATTCGATTGAGGTAGAGCTGTAATGTTTAAATTCAAGAGTTTCTGATAAGCATAACAATTTCTAATTTCGTCTTCGATTATTCAAGGGTTTCGTTGAGAAATAGCAAATCGAAATGCATGCACCAATCAAAGAAAAACTGTGCCATCTACCGACAATCTTAAAAAAACTTGGCACGATTCGTTAGATATATCAAAAAAGTAGGATAATTGAGAAGTGACATTTTCTTAATTGACTTGAATAGAAAATACTATGAATTTTGCATTACCTTTGCCGATTAACGGCCTAGTTTTTCACCGTCCGTCCGTTAAAATTACTTAATAAGCAATTCGCATTGTGGAACTTAATGGACGGTGAAGTGCTAACGCAAAAGGCTAGTGCAATATAACAAAAACATTTACGTTTAATGTGCTATGCATATTACCTTGTATTCCTGAAATTCCTCTGAAGTGCAATAATATAACGGCAAGGTTGTTACTATAACGTTATTCTTGTATCAACGTAACAGCATTTACGTCAAATGGTCATAAAAACGGCAACAACTTCTTTCTCTCTAATTGATTAACAACGGGATATATCAATTTTTGGAAAACGTATAAATTGCAAGTGCATATACTTCCTGCTTT